AGCCACCCCTTGGAGGGAAGGGCGCCCTGTGGCTGCGGGGAGCCTGGGCAAGCCAGCCCTTGGACAGGCCGGGGAAGGCAGGGGGAGGAATTTAAATGCCTCCCCGATCCTTCCAGGGAACCCCCTGACCCGCCCGCCTTGGAGTCGCCAGTGGGGGGTGTCGCTCTCCAGGCCTTCCCTCTGTAGCCAGGCACACAGAGGTTTTGGCTGTAGTGGGCGTGGCCAACTCTGAAGCCAGCTGGAACTCCCTTCCTGCCCAAAAATAGCCCTGGTATTTAGTAAGCAAAGAAAGGTTTCCGAAGTGTATATTTTCAGGGCACCTATCTAACGTACTGTAGCTGCAAAACAAAATGCTTTGAAAAATATGATTATCTGTAATTACTTTTAATTTTCTGAATAAAACTGGTTTGTATCAAAACACATTTTTCACACACTCTTGCTCAGTTTCCCCTCCTTACTACAGTATATGCTTTTGGGTGGCCCAAGGGGACCCTTCCTGTCTCTTTCATCAGTAAAAAGGCTGATTGGATCCACCTCACTGTATCTAATAGTAAACTGACTGCACCCCACACAAAGGATGAACACCACACAATGGGCCCCCTACAAGGAAGGTAGGGAAGGAGATTGGATTTATACCCTGCCCTTCACTCAGAGTCTCCTTCACTCAGGGTGTCTCCCACAACAGACACCCTGTGAGGTAGGTGGGGCTGAGAAAGCTCTTTCCTTGAGAAACGGCTCTTTTTCAAGGACAGCTCTTACCAGAACTATGGCTTGCCCAAGGTCATCCAGCCAGGTGCAAGTGGGGGAGTGGGGGATCAGACCCAGTTCTCCCAGATTAGAGTCTGCGCACTTAACCACTACACCAAACTGGCTTTGAATCTGGTGTTCCAGGAGAAAAGCAGCACATAAATATGCTGAATTAAAAAAAAATGCTGATGAGAATTAAAAATGTTCCAGAGGAGATGGAATGTTGAGAGCTTTTGGGTATCACTTAAAGGAAAAAGAAGGAAAAGGAACTCTTTGGAGGTGGGTGGGGATTCTCTTTCTTTTTCTGCCATCATATTCCTTGCAGACCCTCAGGTTGTACAAAAATCAAACCAGAGGTAAGATTTTCAGCCAGAAAGTGAAGGCTGATGAGAGATTAGGTATACTAAAGTCTGTTGACTGAGGTCTTAGTGAGGGTCCAGGGAGCTGAGGCGGGTGCCACTGCAGAAGGTTTAATAGCAGTAGGGCTGCCAAGTGGGGGAAGGGGGCGGGCAAACCCCCGCTTTGGAGGCCTGATTTCCGCCACCGCAGAATCGGGCCCCGGGGGGAACTCCCCCCCCCCGAAGCGCAGTGTGGCTGCGTCACCAGAGGTGACGCAACCACATCGATCACGTTGGGGGCATGGCCCTGATCGTCGGAGGGAAAACTCTATGGTTTTCCCTCCGATGATCGGGGCCACGCCCCCAACGTGATCAACGTTGCGCGTCACTTCTGGGATGTCCTGGCGGCATGCGCGTGAGCATCGGAGTAGAGCTCCCGGAGCCCGGCGACGCTCCATTGCCAGTAAGGTGATTCGACTTGGCAACGCTAAATAGCAGGCATACCTGTTCTAATCATACATCTTATACATCTTCTTTGGAATGTGAGGGAGTCTCAAATGTGATGTGAAGGGGGCCCAGGGGGAAACTTTGTCTGTAGGCTTCTGGTGGTTCTCAGCAACCCCATGCTGTCCAGCATCCTTTTACAGCTGCTCTGATATGTTAATTGAATGCTCTTGAAAGAACAGTTGCAATAAAACCTATTCACTATTATCACTGTGCTTAAGCGTCTGTATGGGGGAGGGGAGAGGGCTAATGCAACTCTGCTTTGAATGAAAACAATTGATGAGGCAACGCCTTGCGTGTTACACATAAAGTACGGATTACATAAATTGCATAATATGAAATATCACCAGACAGGGTAAAAGAAGTTAAGAAAGGGGAAGAATGAAAAGTTTTTTCGGAAGTTATATTAGAGAGGAAGAAGAGAACAAGGGGGACGAGAGAGGGACAGGGAAGGTAGAGCTGAGAGGCATCGCAGCCGAATGAAATGACTGTTACGCTGCGCAGCCATCTTTGTGGGAATCCATGCACGTGTGCTCGTAGCTGGCTGCAGGGTCTGCAGCTCTGACCCTGTTTTCAGAGCTTCTTTGTATATTCAAATCCCACTTTTCTGGTGAAGCAGAATGCTCAGATAAAATCACAGTCTAAAAGTTGGGAACAAGCAAGTACGTGTTGCTTAACATGGCTCAACGGGAGGCATGGCTCAGTGGCAGAGCACTTGATTTGCAGATAGAAGGCCCCAGGTTTGATCCCTACCATCATCAGTTAAGAATAGACGGTACTGGGAAAGAATCTTAGACACTGGGGCCAGAATGGTGTAGTAGGCAAAGTGCCGGTTCCATGACTGACATGCAGAGGTTTCTCGGTTGACATTAGGGTTGGCAGCCCCCAGTGGAGGCAGGGGTCCCAGGTTCATCTATTTGGCACACAGAAGGTCCCAGGTTTAATCCCTCGCATCTCCAGGTAAAAGGACCAGGCGATGTGAAAGACCTTTCTCTGCCTGAGTCCCTGGAGAGCTGCTGCCAGTCTGAGTAGACTATACTGACTTTGACAGATTATTAGTCTAAGGCAACTTCATCTGAGGGGGTGAAGCACACATGGACACACATTAAGTTGCCTTATACTGAATGTATGAATCTTTGACGTGGTCTCTGTGCTTCACACCCATAGGATTCAGTGCTCACGTGCTGGATCGATCGGTCCTGTAGCAAGCTCTATTTTAACGGATTTTCACACCCAGTCCCTCCAGGCATGTGCAGGAACCCCACTGCGCATGCCCAGAGGGGTGGGCGCGGACATCCCACCAGTTCCTTTCTTACCGCCACGTTGGAAAGACTTCTTTCATCGTCGGTCTGATCGGTTCGCTGATAGCTTTTTGGAAAAACCTTCTCAGCTCTTGGAAAATATTTCCACACCTACTTCTTTTCCTTTTTTCCCCCATTCTTGTTCTCAAAAAAAGGGGTGGACTTTGTTTTCTCTGAGGGGATTTTACCTCAGGCCTTCGGGCCACCCCCCAACCGTTATTTTTACTCCACTTCTTATGGAGAAGAAGTGGGGATTTTTTAATAGGTGTAAACGCTGTGGAAGCAAACTTGCTCCTCCGGACCAGCATACACTTTTTATTTTTTGCCTCGGAGAGTCGCACAAACCTGAGTCCTGCCAAGATTGTGCTCGCTTCTCCAACCAAACGCAAAAAAACCGTGCGGCGCGACTTAAAGTAGCGCTGCTGGAATCGGCTCTTGCTCCCGCCACACCAATGGAGCAGAGACCATCGACGTCGACAGCTTCAACACCAAGGCCTGCCTCCGATGTCGACTGCCCAACACCGAAGCTCCTGACATCGAAGGCACGATCGTCTGCTTCCATGCCTGTTAAGAAGAAGGCTAAGGCAAGTACGGAAGCCAAGTCCGCGAAGAAGGGCACTTCCAAGTCCCTCAAGGTGGCTAAGACAGGGAAGACGGCGGTACAAGCACTGGGTGATGCCCCTGTAGTGCTCCCCGCTCCACTGACAGTATCGATATTGGAGGCCCAAGTTCCTCCACCAATACCGACCATCTACATATTGGATTCCCCCGTCCAACAAACGGAGCGTCCTTAGACCAACATCGAAACGGTAGAGCTCCTAAGCCATCAGATTGATGCAGAGCATTCTCCGTCTACTTCTCAGTCGTCGACATCGACGGTATCGGAAACTCCCGACATGGATCCACGTCGGCACCGATACACCTCATGTGGCACGCAGCGTCACCCTCCACGTCTGCACAGTCAATCAATCGATATCGACAACCGAGATTACCGGGACAATGCTCACAGACAAGCGGCTGCTTTGTCTCCCAGATGTCCACGGTCAAGAAGTCATTTCCCAAGAGTCTTCCTGCCCCACCACCACCGGTGTCGTGGGATCAACGACAGTTGAAGTACCTCTGTGGGGCATATCCACCTTCCCTGCCGTGGTTAACGCCTGTGGACTATGCTGATTGGGATCGCTATTCCACCCAATCTGTTCATAGGTCGAGGTCCCCGCATAGATCGAGGCCTTCGGCATCACTGTCACGTCCTCCTATGGTTGATCCGTCCCACCAAACTCTGGAATCAAATCGTCCAGTCACTCCACCTCCTGTTGCTCCTGTCATCCAAACTAAACCACTGGCTTGTCCACAGGACATCTGTCGAAATCCAACAGCAGCTTCTTTGCCACGTTGCGGCATTGCCGTGTGATTGCGAGCTAACAGCCAAAGCACGGAGACTCGACAGACCGTGTGATCGGGCTAACGCGCTTTATTTTGCTCCGGGGCAAACAGCCACGCTTCACCCCCGCGTTATCTGGCCCATGTGACCGGGGCCTAGGTTTTACTGTGTAAAATAGCAAAATCCACGTGCAAATAGTCTTTGAAACTGCATTATTTACCATGTGTGAAAGTGCCCCAAGGAGAAGGCCCTTTAGAAAGAAGGTCCTCCCCATACAGTCCTGTCTAGTTAGAACTATCTGCCCCCTGCAGGATCTTCTTTGTACACAAGACATTACCATATTCCAACAAAAAGGACACTGGAGGCTAATAGGAATGTACATCAAGGGATATTAGAAGCAAGGAGACTCTTAAAGTAGACATCACAATTGCTTATCCTGCCAAACAGCAATAGTTACACTTACACACATCTAATGTATCCCAGTTTTAGCTACCATCTGCTGAATTCCAAAGTCCCTCTTTCTCTCCTTTTCACTCACAAATTCAGAATATTTTGAGCAATCTCTCT